AGTACATATCCCAGAAGCATATTAATGGTATAACTCAAATGAGAATGATTGAGAATTGGGAGGCTCAAATGTTACTCCTGAATCTGCCATTAACTCTGAGGCACTAGGTGAATCCCTGCATATCTTTGTTTGTTGATTTTTCAAACTTCTGAAAATTAGGGAATGGTGGTTAAAAGAGTACTAAGCTCCTTCTAGCATTAGCACAATATTTTATTTCTTTCTGGAGAACTTTTTGGTTTAAAATGAAAAAGCTAATGACTTCTCTTGACAATTCCTAAATCGTGGCTGGCTGCCTTACTTAATATGTTGTGACCACACATCACCCATTACCTGGGATTTCCTCTTCTTCGGTGTGCCACTCCTAGACTGTGACTGACACACATAATATCACAACTGCCTTGTTCAGGGGGTGAGCAGTGGTCTCAGTTGTCTACTGAGCGATCACCTTGACCATGCCCACTCTTTTCATGTGCATTACCCAGTGAAGGTCACTAAAGGTGAGCTGCTTTTATGTGGCACAAGATTAAGAGAACCAAAAACTATTACCAACACCCTAAAGAGCAAAGAACATTTGGAAGGCACTGAAGGTCACCTTTTAAAATCCTAGTAAATCCTTTGTTTTTAATGGGGGTCAAAAGAAACTGTCAAAGTTTTACTTTTTAAAAGATGGGCTATCTGAGGTGGTTTCCACTGATGGATTTAGGCTGTTGCCTGGCAACAACCCTAAAGGCAAAAGTAGCCTATGACCAGAAGAAATCTAGTAAATTAGGAAAGAAAACTGCCTGTGTTTGTGTCAGAGTCATTCTGGTTTAGTAGTCCTATAAAAGGATAATGAAAAATTCAATACACTGAGTATTTTCTTCCTAAGAAATCACAAAATGAGTAAGTTGACTTTGGCAAAGGAGAAGCATGCTTGGTACACTTTCCCTAAACCCAACATTTATGAGTTAACACCATCTTACTTGGAGTTGTGCTTCTTGAACACCAATCTTTTGGGTCTCCCAATAATCTCAAGGGGAGACAGTGCAGGAGGAAAGTTCTCAGCAGCTATTTCATTGCATCCCTTCCATGCAAGTTGGCTGCATGGTGACCCAGAGCTCAGTCTCTCATTGGATGGATGGATTGATACTTTTTTTTTTGATGAGTCTGTTTTTGAAAAGTTCTGTAATGTTTTCTAGATAACTTCCAACATTAGTTTTCATTCTTCCACATCTTCTAAACTATTTTAACTGAGAAAGTTAACCACACCCATTGTAACAGAGAAGCCCCAACCCTGGGTGACTTGAACAACAAAGTTTTATTTCTTGCTCAAGTCAAGGTCCAATGCCGATTTGGAGCTGCAACATCTGCAACCTGTTAGCATGTTGAGTTGAAAGAAATTTGGTGGGGCAGACTGGAACTTATTGCCTCAGTTCATGAGTGGCACGAACACAGCTGTTTCTAGTCCACTGGTGAAAACTAACCAAAAGACCCCAACGTAAGTTCAGGAGAACCTGGGAAGTGTAACCAAGTATAAGGAATTTAGTGAATGCTAATTGTATGTGCCACCCCATAACCAAGCACATGGACTAGAAGGATGATGCAGCCACTGAGATGTGGTACAGCAGGTTGATACTGAATCCTGGAGCCAGATCATGCCAAAGAACAGTGGGCACTGCTCTGATCATGTAGAAGGAGAGCAGGGTTAGACCTCTGGACCTGCTCTGTCTCTGTACAGTACCAGGATACAATGGGCATCAGAGGACCCATACACCTCCTACTGCCCGCCCCATTTCTTTTCCCAGAACAGGTTGAGTGGTTTGTGGATCTTTGGTATACATCATCCTTGTTGATGAAGCATTTCATCTTTGTATCCCCAAACTCAGAGATCACGAATTTGAAAGCATGAAGAAAGGACCCCACATCACTCATGCCATTTAAGTTAATTAAAATCACATTAACTAAATGTGTTATTATAGCTCTATAATAAGTGTACCTGTTTGGCATTTCAGATACACCCAAGAGGCTAAGGGGAAAATGATACCTTGGAAATGAATGTTTGACTTCTCCTACAGGCTAAAAGTCTTATTTTGTTGTCTGAATTTCAAGTGGGAAACAGACTCAGGGAGATAGAGTGATTTATCTATCTTCACATGACCTATAAATGGCAAAGCCAGAAAAGGAGCCCAGGATCGGTGACTTCTAATCCTGTGCAAAGTGTTTGGTTAAGGGCATGCCCAGAACCAGACCCCAACCTACTTGTGGTCTCTTTGAAAATATCAGAACACCAACCTGACTCTGCAGGGAAAAGAAAGACAGGCAGCAGGCCTGTTCTGATAACAGAACCTGTGGTGTCTCGGCACTACGAAGTAACAGGCAGCAGTGCAAATGCACATTTAAATCACGCAGAAATTAGTGGCATGATGACAATAAGGGACCTCTGATGGAGTAATTCCTTCCCTGCAGGGTGTCCAAGTGGCCCTAGACTGCTGGTGCCCAGACTGAATGAGTCTGCACTGGAGGCATCACTGCAGCCAACACAATGGAGCTGAAGGGGGGAGGCAGCCAGAGGCAAGGAGTTTTCAAAACCAAATGACACATGGACTGCTGGAATGCTGTTTAAGAGACTTAACACTCCCAAGAATGAAAAAGTCAAAAAGGTCTGCAGGCGGACTCTGCGCTGAACCCTGCAAGTGGGAGTGGTCAGTATACATTTCTGTAGAAAATGAGGATTTTTCAAAGCCTTTGTGAAGCATCCACACATTTTCTAAACATATTTCACTCTCACGGGGACTGGAATCCTTCTGTGCTAACATCTGGGCAGTATGTGATGGTGTGAGGACAGTACATTCATGACCTCAAGGGACTCCATATCCCCCCAGCACACTATCCTGTGGCAAACTCAGACAGCAGATTATGATAATCTCAAAATGAAACTGGGAATTCATGAGGCCTCAGTGGCGAAGGGAAATGAGCATCACCATATCCTTCAAAGATTTCAACCTCCTCCAGCTTTTCATCCCTCCTCTCTTTCACCCCACAATTCTCTTTCAGGAAGATAGTCCCCTAGGTTGGTTAACACTACTGTTCTTCAGCCCTGGGATTGATCAATGCTCTCCTGTACTTCTGTTTCATTGTCCAATTAATGAGATTAGTAGGGGTGAGTCTGGGAATCAGATTTCAGGTACATAAATTTCCTCATCAAGTATCACTGCTGCTGAGACCAATTCATCCTAATTTATGTTATGTCCCAAAGTGTATGTTTTTAAGCTTAGAAACTAATGAACAAAAATAAATAACTATTTTTTAAAACTCCATTGAGCTATAATTAAGATATAATAATGTACATACACGGATGCACAATTCTGTAGGGTTTGGTATATGTAAACTCCATGAAACCATCACACAATCATGACCGTGAACATATACATCATCCCCAAAAGTTTCCTTGTTCCCCTTTATAATCTCTCCCTCTTACCTCTTTATCCACCTTCAGGGAATCACTCATCCCTCTCTTTTTTTTTTTTTTTTTTTTGGTACCGGGGATCGAACTTGGGACTTTGTGCTTGTGAGGCAGGTGACGGAACCACTGAGCTAAATCCCCAGCCCTCACTCATCTCTTTTCCACTCACATTTTCTAGAGTTTAATATGAATTAAATCAACCCTATACTACACACTTTTCGGAGAGCAGCTTCGTTCATGGAGCATGACTATTCTGAGTTGTTATATATGGTTCATTTGGTCTACTGTTGAATAGTATTCCATTATAAGAATACACCATGGTTTGTTTATCTATTCACCTGTTGAAGAGATTTGAGTTATTACAAATAGCCACCCTATGAATGGACATATATGGTTTTTGTATGGCTATGTGCTTTTATTTCTCTTGGATAAATACGTAGGAGTAGAGTAGCTGGATCAAATGACAGGTGTATGATTGAAAATTTAAGGAAGTGCCAAACTGTTTTCTAAAGTTTCTCTATTTCCAACAAAACCATGTGAAAATTTCAGTTTTTCTACATCCTCTCCAACATTTGGTATGGTGAATCTCTAATTTTAGTCATTCAAATAGTTGTGGAGCAGCATTTTATTATGGTTTTAAAATTCATTTCATTAATGATGAATTATGTGGAGTATCTTTTCATGTACTGATTTTTCATTCTTATATCTACTTTAGTGAAATATTTACTCAAAACTTTGCTGATATTTAATTGAGTTGTTTTTTATTATTGAACACTGGGAGTTTTCTATATATTTTAGGCAGAAGTTTTTTGTTACATTTTAGCTTAAAGTCCACTTTGAGAATAAGATTGCTATCCTTGCTTTCAATGTTTTCTATATCCTTGATTATCTTCTGACTGCTTATTCTATTAATTATTGAAAGGTGGGTATTTAGATATCTAGCTACAATTATGAGTTTCTTTCTCCTTGCAGGTCCTATCAGCTTTTTCCTCATATATTTTTAAACCCTAGTTTTAGGTCCATAATCACTTACAATTACAAGAACTTCTTGATCAATTTACTTTTTTTGGTACCGGGGATCAAACTCGGGACCTTGAGCTTGCGAGGCAGGCAGTGGAACCACTGAGCTAAATCCCTAGCCCTTACTTCTTTAACATTATGATTAATTTGTTTACCCCTGGAAGGATTCCTAGCTCTGAAATTGTACATTGCCTATAGAAGTACAAGAAGTACTTCTTTAGTTGATTCTCTTTTAGAGCAGTTTTAGGTTCACAGAACAATTGAGAGGAAAGTGGATTGATATCTTACGGTGTATAACTCTTGTCTCTACAAATGGATAGCCTCCCCTAATATTAATATTCCCACCACTGTGCTACATTTGCTATAATCAATAAAGCTACACTGACACATCATTATCACTTGATGTTCAGAGTTTACATTAGGGTTAATTCTCGGTATTGTACATTTTATGGGTTTGTATGACTATATAATGACATATATATACTATTATATTATCATAGAGAATATTTTCACTGCCTTAAAAATTTCCCATGCCTCCACCTATTCATCTTTCCCTCTTTAAATTCTGTGGCAACTATTGGTCCTTATATTGTCTATAGTTTTACTTTTTCTAGAATGTCATATTGTTAGAATTATACAACATGTGGCCTTTTCAGATTGGCTTCTTTCACTTACAACTATTCAAGTTTTTTCCAGGTTTTTTCATGCTTGGTAGTTAATTTATTTTTTAGCACTGAACAATATTTATTGTCTAAATATACCATAATTTATTTATCTATTCATCTATGAAGGACATCTTGCTTGCTTCAAAGATTTGGTAATTATGAATAAAGCTGATATAAATACCTCTGTGTATAGGATTTTGTGAGATAATAAGTTTTTTACTTCTTTGGGTAAATACATGGTGGAGCAAAGATACTTAGTTCATTGTGGCTGGGAAGCAGAGCAGAGAAACAATGCCAGAAAATGGGGAAGAACCAGATTTAGCAACCAAGGTGAAGTTTCCATCAAACACACAAACACACCCAGAAATGTGCCCCACCAACCTGCTAGGAGCTTTTTATTTCAATCAAGTTGAAATGTCAATTAATAGTCAAAATAGGTATTGTTCCAGATATATTCCTAATTCAAAGAAATGTACACTGTTTCCTCAAAAATGAATTCTGATGGCCCTTACTGTAAATCCTTTTAAAGAAATAGTTGATAAGCAATCCTTACCTCTTACAACAACCCAGGTGGGTCTCAACCCAAATTGCAATTCTAGCAAAACTCTCCAAATTGCCAAATCTGTTGTTGAGTTTCTTTTTTTTTTCATTTTATATATGACCTCTGAAATATTTGAAACCCTTGAAAATTCTTGCCTTCTTGAAGTGTTCTAATTCTAATCTCTGCTCCTCTAGTTTACTCTTATATGTTACTTAGATTGTTGTAATAGCCATGTAATTGTGGAAGGCATGCAGCAACTTGTGATAACATAATACACCAAAACACAGAAACAAGCAAATCAGATATGACTTATTTGAAGAACTATTCACATCTTAATATGTTGTCCTTATGATTAAAGAGAAAAGTAATCTGAAAACATGTTTCCATTTGTACTTATTATATACAATAAAAAACTGTGTTACACAGTGCTCAGAAAATACAAATGACTAATATGCCTTGAAGTGTTATTCTTCATGCAGGGAGAGGAAGAGTGATCTCCTGATGTTTACTTTCATATACGCACTTTATAATCCACAACAGAGGACAAAATATTGAGAAACAAGTTGCACACGAGTGAAAAATATCCTATCCTAGACTGCTGCATTTATTCTCCTGCTGTGATCCATTAGTAAACAGCTGTTCCTTGACTTCTGAAGATAAGAATTGTCTCAGCACAATTAGTTAGAGAGAAATGGGACTCATTTATTTTTAAACAGGTAAAGCTAGGGACAGAACATGATTTACAATTTCTTTCAGTGTATCGCACAAATTTAGTATCCAATTCATATATTCTAATTGTCGTTACAGAGCAGAATTCTCACTCTTCTATTATTCCCTATAAGGGAGAAAAACAAGAATTTGAGTTAAAGATATTTTAGTAAAACTACAGTGCATGACACTTTTGTTAATAAATTCATACTGCTCTCTAGAACTCACTTTATCAAGAGATTTGAATAGGAAAATTTAATGTTAGTAAAATCTCATAAGTGAAATTTCTGAATTAATATGTTACATAAGCATAAATCACAGGGAAAACCACTGAAAGATTCAACTGTCATTTATTCTTTTGCAAAATTTATTAGGGATATGTTTATCAGTTGTTGACAGTGAACACCAAAATCCTCAGGATAAGTTTTTCTGATGAGCCATAATGAATTACACAGATGACCGAACTGCCTTGATAATTTGCCTTCATTGTCAAATACAGGATTTTACAGACCTCATTGAGTGATGGTACTGATATGTTTATCCTCTGGAAAAACATATAATGTCACATTTACATGTTTTTTAATATTGGAAAAAGCCGAGTAGAAGTCATGAATATTATAGGGAAATAAATTAATATTACTTTAGAGGCCTATTTATTTTTCATTTAACAAGAATGAAAAAATAATGCAATTTGTAGATTAATTCCTAGAGAAAAGGATTAAAATTCTTCCTGTGGAACATGTTTAACTCAGAGAACTGAATCATTTTTAGTCATGTTCTTTAGGAAGCTTTATTCCAATTTTCAAGCCTAATCTCAATGCTAATTCTGAAATGACTGAAGTTTACGTAAAGTGTTAAGGAACAATTAAAAGTACGGAAGTTTAGGAAAAAACACATTAATTAACACTTATTTTTCTGTGTTGCTTTTCTTTCTGTTTTATACATGCATATAAATGAAAAACTATGACCATTATTTACTTATTTATTCAAACTATTTTTGATTGCCTAACACATACCTGGAATAGTTCATGATGTTAAAGACTAAACAATAACTCAAATATAGTCTCTGACTTACCCTTTATAGTCTAGAAACTTTCAATATGAAAAGGAAACAACCAGGTGAAGACTGAATAAAAGCTATTGTGACAAAATGATCAGGACCCTCACGACACAGAAATAACTGTATATTTTTGCAGAAAATGTTTACTCTACTGTAATTATTAACTGGTAAAAGGTAGCTAACTACTGAAAAGGATTGAGGAGGACTCAGAGAGAACAACAGGTACAGAGGCTGAGGAAATGTAGAAAATAAGGGAACTAATAACTAGAAGAGACTCTGTTTCCAATCAAGTCTTCAGTCTAGACCTCCTCAAAGAATTTTGCCTATAACAGAAATATAAATTCTGCTGATAGCAAAAAAAAAAAAAAATTGTCATGAGGATAGGGACTATATTGCTCTGTCATGTTAAGTTTTGTCTAAGGGTGCCTCTATCTATATATTTTGAGTTTTACTTAAAGGTTTCTCCATAGGAGGTGATTGTAACCAATTCTGATGTGTAAGCAGACTATAACCTACTTTTGTACAAATGGCTGAGTCTTGGATAATCACAAGCAGCCAAATTTTCATATCATGTCCAAATTAGTCAGATGTGAGCTATAAAAGACCCTTCTGTCTCTGTATGTCACTTTACTTTTCTGTACGTCTCTTCCTTTTCGTGGGCTATTAATATGGCCTGCCTGTATGGTAGAGTGGGACATTCTGAATCATTTTTGTCTAGACTGCTGCTCAATTCTGGAATCACGAATGAAGATAATTAAGATGTGCAAAAGTTGATTTGTTATAATTTTGTCTGCGAAAATAAAAACAGCCCAAGTTGATGGAGTGTGTGGCCAGTCTAGACTTAGCTTACAGAGGCATTCAACCATTGGCAGAGGGTAGAAAGTGATTAGAGCTCCTTGGAAGGGGCTGGTGGTCAGCAAGTATGACCTCGGGTACAACTTGACAGAGCGATTCACTGTTTCATTTCTCATTTTCAAATATGCTTACCTTCACAAAACCAGAAGTAAATTACAGAATCAAACTTTTCCTGGAGAAATGGAAGCTGAGTATCACTGCCGGGTATACAGAGGGTGGCAAAGAACAAGACTATCTGAAATAGCAGTTGGACAGAGGGTCTTTGTAAAGAATGTGTTTTCTGTGAATGTATCTAGAGATGTGTGCATGATGTCACAGTCAACCTTTCCAATGCCTCTGCAAATCTTAGGTAAAAACTATAAAAGTAAGAAAAAAATGATATTGTAAGTGTAATGATGTAGCAAGTAAACTTGGATTTCATGTGAAAACTAGTGAAAAACTACTGACTGATATCAGGCAAAAAGGATTGACCTGAATGCTGAAGATCACTGACAGGAGTTATTTGACCAATGGATGGTCACTAAGCAATTTAAACTTTAAAAAATACCAAATAAAAACAAAATTAAAAAGAGGTCCCTACATCCAGTTTCAGTTCTGACATCTTAAACTTAGAAATAGTCCACTGTCATCTTCAAAATAAGGGGGGAAACTGAGTGAAAATCAACTATCTCCATCACAGATGTCATAGGACAAACCACCACACTGAAATCTGAAAACACGGGAATGCAAGAAACACAGCCACATTCTGCTTGGCTGCAGCAGAAGTTTCTGGAACTATAAACTGAAGGAACAACTGAATGGTAACTTTGACTAAATGATGGAAGCTGAGGGTTGACTAACAGGAGAATGAGAAACTCCCCAGTCTGAGGGAAACCCCCACATTTTTCTGGGCTTCAGTCCAGGAATCTCACCACATTGTTATGGTCAAGAACCACGAGTAATCTTCTCACAACTCTGTCAGAGAAGGAAGTAATAACGATATTTTAAATACACTCAGAGAGTTCTCCAGAACAAGGAAGATTTTATCAGAGCCTTTGTGGAGAACACCTTAAAATAAGATGGAATTGTATAACCCTAAGTGTGCTGTAACCATAAGTGTGCTGTAACCCTAAAGTGTGCTGTGACTTTAAGAGTGCTGTGAGTGATATGTAACCATAGTAACCATAAGATATAGAAGTAGAACCTTAAGCGGTGTGGAATTGATAAGGATGAACCCCGAACTGCACAGGGCGTGGCCCAAATGGACAGTGTGATAAGTCTGAACCAGTACCACAAACGCCCAGTTAGAATAGTATAAAAGGAGCTGAAGACCTCAAGCAAGTCGACGATCCGTCCCACCGACCAGTCTACTAGTCAGTCTGTTGATCTGACTACCGACCGGGACACCTGCACCTGATCCCGCTGGAAGGAGCATCGCCGCCGACCAGACGAGACCAGAGGACGAGGCCAGCGGAGAGAGGGACAGCCTAGCTCCGACTCGACGCCCTTCATCTACGGATGGGACCCTCTGACCCGACGGGAGGAAACATCGCGCTCCCATAAGGACTTGTGCAGTACAGGTACAAGGACGTGGTAATTGGCAGACTTAATATTGTCTTATTTAATATCGTGTGATAATTGCATAGAAGTGAATTATAATAATATAAGTGTGTGAACTGCCGTCCGAGTCTGAGTTCTCTTTACCCGCGGTACCTGCTCGCGACAGCCTTACACATGTAGACAAAAGGCACTTAACCTACTCCAGCTCCCTCAGTCTCATCTAAGTAGAGAAAAAAGGCTAAGAAACATCTGTGAGGTGCACCAGTGAAGGATACAGACTCATAAGTCCACCAGAAAACTAAGATTTGGGGGGCTGCGGGGTACAAGGGATCAAATTCAGGACCTTGTGCTTTCAAGGCAGGTGCAGTGCTACTGAGCTAAATCCTTGGCCCCAGAAAACTAAGATTTAACCTTAAGATTATATATCATTTCCCCTTCATCATAGCTAACCACCACATAAACCCTGCTTCAATGTAATAATAGATTATTTCTTAGAAAATTGTAAGGCACCAATTCTATTTGAGGAGAAGTTCTTAGGGAATTCCAAAGACAAAGTAATAGAGCAGAGTAAGGCATTAGAAGAATTTGAAGCCCTTGTAATCTACCAAATATTAAACACACTCTCACCCCTAACCAGATTAACTTAAAAGCTCACACCAAAGGACTATTTATCACAGTTTGCATTATCCAATACATCACGTTCATCTTCCAAAAAATAAAAGAAATGCAAATCATACTAAAAAATGAGAAAGAATATAATCAAGAAGTTAAATCAAATATAAAATCCAGATTTAAATATGACACATTTTATAATATTAGACAGAAAATTTAAAATATTTATTATTAATATGTTAAAGAATCTAATGAGAAGTAGGCACTATGCAAGAACAAATTAATAATAAAATTGGGGACATAGGAACTCTCAGAAAGAATCTAAAGGAAAAGCCAAAAGTAAAAAAAACAAAACAAAACACTGTAACAGTAATGAAGAATGCCTATGATAGACTCACAAGTAGATAGGATATCAAAACACTATGGTAAATCTAAAAAGGTGTATCATATGCATATTCAGAATACAAGGAGGAAAAGCAAGACAGAATGGAGCAAATAAATATTGGAAATGACAATGCCTGAAAACTCTCTAATATTAATGACCCCAAATCACAAAATCACAAATCAATAAAATGATAAATCTTTAGTAGGGCTATTTGAGAAAGAGTGAGAAAGAGAAGACAAATGACCAATATAAGAAACTGAAAATATGTGTCATTATTACTGTACATTAAATGAGGAAGAATGGAATACTTAAAAAACAGGACTGGGGATGTAGCTCAGTGACGCCACACCTGCCTGGAAAGTGCAAGGTCCTGAGTTTGATCCCCAGTACCACAGAAAAAATCGTAAAAAATTCTATGCTCAAAAATTTGATAATTTGGATAAAAATGGCCAATTTCTTAAAGGATGTAAATTGCAAAAATTCGCAAAAGAAGAAATAAATGTTCTGATTATACTTATTATTATATGGCTATATGTTTGTTAAAACAATCAAATCAGTCATTAATATTATTCAAAAAAGAAAGACATTATTACTTAAATATTTGATAGAATTCACCAGTGAAACTGATGAAAAGAGGTGAATTCGACCACATACCTAAGAAATTATATCAACTGCCCACAATGTTTTCCAGAACACAAGAAGGAATACTTCCTAACTTATTCTATGATGCCAGCATTGCCTTAATACAAAACCAAATAAAAATAACAAGAAATGAAAATAATAGAACAACATCTCTCACAAACAGACACAAAAAATCTTAACAAAATATTAGCAAATCCAGTAATATATAAAAAGAATTCTGTACTACAATTGTGCTAAGTTAGATCAACATCTTTGCATACACATTTAGTATACTTATTCAACTATTTCCTTAGAATCCATTCTTAGAAACAGAATTGCTAGATAAAAGGTTGTGTATATTCTGAAGAGTTTTAATAATTATTGTTTCAAATATAACTGGTCTAATTTCTGTTTCTACTATAAGAATCTAAAACAAATATCTGAGTCATTTTCCTATTTCTCTAGTGAAGTATTTTGTGGTTTTCCATTAGGATTGTTTCCCAGTTTTCTTCATAATGATTCATATACTGAGAATTTATAAGGACTTTGTAAATTTTGCAGCTGATTTTCTTGTTGTGCCATTTGCTTTTTAACACTTTTTTGTTTGTTTTTCCCATAGTAAGGTGCCATTTTTAACTTTTATGTAATTAATATTCTAAATATTTAATTCATAATGTCAGACCTTGGACCATAAAATTTTAAATCATCCTCATCCAAAGATTTTATAAATCTATATTTAAGGTATTTTTCATCTAGTACTTTTCCATTTTAAATTCATCTATGAACAGTAAACTATCTTATTTTTAAAAAACATTTGTTGTCCCAGAGCTACAACCCATCTGTTTCTCTGGCTAACTTTAGATTTTAAATTTATTGCTACTCAATTATAAATTTGGGGTCTATCTTATATTTTCTATTTTATACTTTTGATATGAGTATCTGCTCTGACACCAGAATCATCTTCCTTTAGTTATGGAAATTATGTATTATCTTTTAAATTTAATTTTATAGCTATTTCTTTATTTCTTTGGGTTAAATATAAAATTATTTAATCAAGTTCTCAGAAAAGTTTTGATATTGATTTCTTTTAAATTGAATCACAATTTAGAGACTCAACAACTTTAAATATCCAGTTCTTCCAAAAGTATGTCACTTCATTTGTTCAAATATACAAAGATATAATACATATATTTTAGGTATTTTTATTTCATAGTTTATTGCTTTTTCAAATAAATATATTTAAGTTTTTTACTATTAGTTACTAAGTATTCTCAAAAGATTAAATCTACTGATTTATACATATTGATTTTGAAATCAGACCCATTTCAAGTCATTATTTTCAGTGATTTTGTTACTTTACTGCAAATAAAAATAATTTGTTTTCACTACAAAGTTTATATTTTGGTTTTCTTCTTATTTTCTTATCTTTAGTGTTTTGCTTAGCACTTCCAGAACAATATAGCAATAATAACAATAGTGCACATCCTTGTCAGCATTCTAATTTTAATGAGAGCACTCCACTGAGGAATAATAATACTATTTTCTAGTCTCTTCTAGGAAAGTATAATAAAACTTGATGTTAACAACAAAATAGTAACCCAAAATAATAACATTAGGAACCTAAAAGTCCTAAACAACTAATAATATTCTTTAAATATTAAGGAAGTAACTTAATGTTCCAAGGCTATGTCATTTCACATTAGTGACATATGTTGTGATCTATCAAATATATTTATTAATATTCATTGATAGACAAATAATATTTATCCTGTGATAACCTTCTGTTTAATAGTTTCCTGATTTAAAAATTGTTGCATGTCTGGCTGTTAGGCAATTTGGGATTTCATAGTCCTGTGATACATAGCTAAATTTGCTATTTTATTTATAATTTAAACCTACTTTTACAAGTAAAATAAAATTTATTTTATGTGTGTGTCTGTGTGTGTGTGCCCAGAAATTCCTTTTCAGTTCTATTATTATATAGAAAACTGTCTAATTCTTTTTGTAAAATAGTTCTGATGATATGAAAGTACCTACTTTTTGAAAATTCCAAGAACTCCATATAATATAAGCCCAGGGTGTATATTTTTAAATCTATGTGTTTATTTGAAGGTCAGTTTTGAATATATGCTTTTTAAAGTTACTTTTAATTCACTTATTTTTTTTTTTTTAAGAGTAGGAAAAATTTATTGAGAGAAAGAAAGCTTCTGTCTAAGAGACACAGAAGGGGGACCAGAAAGTGGCTTGGCCACCCACCCCACATTTCAAAGATGTTTTACACAGCAGTGCCATGTGGTGAGGCAGGTACAAAACTATAAGACACAATGGAATTTTGCAAGGTGGGCATGAGGTGGGACAAAACCATGACCAACCAATAAGATTACAAGTACAGTCACCCAGGTAATATTGATTAAATGGGGATCAAATGGGGGAGCAAGTCACACAGCAAGCTTAGGAGGATTTTCAGTAAGGGTGGGTCAGGGATATTTCCCAGAAAGGCTGGGTTAAGATCTTGGACCCCACCCAAGTGATTAATACCTGTTTAGAATATCAATCACTGTTATTTATCCTACATGGGTGTGCTAATTTCTCTCCTTACACAATGCTGGCCTTCAATGAATGTGTCTTCACTCTCCTCCATGTTGCTTCCTTGTGGGCTGTCCTGTCTAACTGCCTACAAGATATCTAATTAACTTACCTATCTGCAATATTCCCCCCTCTGAAGTACCGGCTGTGAGGTGGCAAACGGGGAAGACAGGTCTGGCTACTTCCTGCTGAATAGGGTTGTAATTGTGATCAGCCATTAGGTTTACTCTACAGAAGGTCTATCTAAAGGTCTTCGACGGGAGTCAGGCACTGTCCTATTGGCAGCAGTATAGATTTGAGTTTGGAGAAGACAAAGCCAGAGAAATGGTTAAGAATACATGGGCCAAATTATAAAGTCAGCAGGATTGCTATGAATATAGCCAACAAGGGTTTCCACTGGGAGGAACTAGTAATAGCCTCCCACAAAGAGGATAAGGAGAAGGTCCAGGGGACTTCAGAATCCAACAAAGAAGTTGTATTGTGTAGTTTAGCAGTTACAAGCTGTTTACAAGGTCGATCTGGTGGATCCCAGTAAAAGAAGTCTAGCACATTTGTCATTGGTTCCACTTGTATGACTGCTTGGAGTTTGGCAGCCTCTAGGCAAGAATAAACAAAACTTGTAAGAAATTAGAGCATAATCCAAGAGTGACCACACTAGAATGAAAGGGCAGGTTGGGGAGAAAGTCACACTTAGAAATTGAAATAGTGATTGTAACCTGCTGATTCTTAAACTCTTTTATTTATTGTTATCTATAAGTCTGATACTTTGTCATAAGTCTCTCTAGTTTTAGCTGTAAGAAGATAAGAGACAATTTG